TCATCATCATCATCATCAGTGTCGTCGCCATCATCATCATCATCATCATCATCATCATCATCATCATTGTCATCATCGTCATCATCGTTAACACCATCACATCACCAGAAAGCACCTGCAACTTCAAATCTGCAGTGGCACTGTTTGAAGCAAGTGACAGAACCTTCCAGTGGGAGGAACTTGTTGTGCACACACGTACAATCTATGCAGGTGCAAAGATGCAGGTGTATAGATGCAGGTATGTGAATGCAGTAGCGAAAAGCACCTACAACCTTAGACATGCAGATGTAAAGATGCAGTTGCAAAGGATGCCTGCAACTTTTTTTGTGCCTGTGTCCAGCTGCAGGTCTAGAAAATGCAGTTGCACAAGACACCTACAACTTTGCAAATGGAGGTGCGTGCATGCAGTGTAAAAACCTTCTTGAAAGGCAGCAGCACAGTGCGGATCGATTCTAGCATTTTTTTTTGTAGAATGTACTTTTTGAGGTGTCGCAGGCAGCCCTCTTGAACGAGATTCATCAATCTTGCCAAACTGTAGCAGAAACAGCGTGTCCCAGGCAACCCTCTGGCACGGAACGTGCTTCGATCGCGTGAAACCGTGAAAGGTCATTTGGATGTGTCAAAATCAACCCTCTGACACGAGATGCCTGTCGATCGCGCCAAACTGCAGTACATGCTGAATTTTTTCCCGGTATCCTGTCCCGCACGAAATTCGTGCCGACAGCATGCAAGTGTGGTAAAACCCCGCGCAACCCTGGCACAAAATGTGCGCCAATTGCGCAAATCTCTAGTAAAATGTGGATGTTGAGCTGGCGAGGTGTGCATCTTGATACTGTGGTAAAAAATGTGTGTACAAGTTATTTGCATCTGGTGTATGCTAAGAGAAAACATTGCGAAGTAACAATGGGTAAATAATGTGTTGCACTGTTCAGTAACATGGCCTACAAGTAGCATTTTTCAAAAACATTCCACAGTGACCCTGGCAAGCAGCATGCAAATTGCCAAACAGCAGGCCTAGATGTTGCAACTGTGGCGAAAATCTTCGAAAACTTGGGAAGCCTTCACCAGGTCTTAACATATATGGTGCCCCAAAATTGTAAGAATTTTTGTGGAGAGCCACTGCAACACTGCAAGAGGCTTAAAATCATAGCAAGCCATTACGAACCAAGATGTCTTGCTTCAGATGATGCTCCGATGCGAACGGGTGAAAAAGACGTGACCCTTCACCAACATCACACCATTATCATCATCAGCTTCATCTTCACCGTCTTCATCATCATCATCATCATCATCGAACTTGGAAGGAACCCGTGTCTGTTTGTGTGTAACTCCTTTGTAGATGGAGTATTTGATGTTAGTCTCCTGGTTTCCTTTTGTACCAAATTTTGTCTAGTGTTGGCATAGACAAATGGTGCTACATGGTGAGGTCATGAAATAGTTATGGTGGGTGAAGATGATGAGGTCGTGGTGGCTTGCCTGGTGCCTGCGCTCTGAAACGAAATCAGGGTAAAATTGTTTTGGCTTGCAGAGTTCCGGTTTCATTCCGCCCTGGTACTGTATTTGTTTCCGCACGCAACTAACCCCATTAAAATCATCCAAGATGGGCCAAGACACTGCCAGTGCCCGCTCCAACAGTGTCAGAACAGGCGGTTTGCCATGGTTCCTGTGAACTGTCACAGTCTCGTCTGAGTATAGACCGACTAGCCTCAGAAGATCGCCCCCGCGTGGCAGGAAAGGTGCCGAAACGCTTTTGGATTTCAACTCCACGTCATCGCAAATTCAAGCGCGGGCAAACCAACTGCTTTCCTTCCTAGTTTCCTCCCTTCTTGGTGGTCAACCCCAGTTACCGTGCAAGGTGCGCGCCGGATTCTAGAAAGAATAAGCTGAGGTAAGCCGAGTTGGAACAGTTCTCATCTCATCGGAGACACAGCAACCTCTGTTTGAATGTGGAATGGATGGTTCCTGTTTGAATCTTGAAAGGTCTGTCCCGCCTTCGCTTCATGTCGTCCGTGCAGCGAAACTTTGAACAAAACATAAATACATCCGAGTCCACTGCATGAGCATAAACATGAACATCAACATTCACACGAACATGATGAAACATATCATAACAAGACAAAGTTTGCGGCTACACATACACATGACATAATCTAAGACAGAGGAACAGGGATAAACCAAACACAAAACATATCCATAATACAGGTCCAAAGACGAAACATGCACATTTTACATTACATCGCTGGCTTGCCCGGGCTCTACTGGTATAACATTCACATTGCAGCACACTATACATGCCAATACATATATGTATATGCACGTACAAAGAAACACACACACACACATATATATACATATATATATATACACAACTACACACGTATTTAGCAGCAAGCACCGATGAGAGAGGGAAACATGAAGTCATCTTCAACAAGCCATTCAACTCAATCTCCCACAGCACCCGCAAATTCGGTGCACCAAGTGCCATGATGCCAACCAAAGGCTGGTCTCGTTTGATTCTTTTGTGGGGACACTAAGCTGGCACACAGGTGAATTAAAGTCTCAGTTTTTCTTCCGGCTTGGGTGATACAAATGCACACAAGACTCAATGAAATATGGATATTTGATGGATATTTGATATTTTGGATATGCGTCAGGGGAGAACTGTCTTGCTCCAAAAGTAGTGGGCCCAGAGGATCCTCTTGAGAAAACGGCGGTGGAGATATTGGAGCCATCACTTCGCACCATCGGGCCACCAGATGCAGTTTTCCATCTCATGGTTGAAAAAAACATGTTCGGAATTGAATTCGTTGTCATAGTTCTAAACAAAAAAGGGAGGAACCTACTGGGCCAGAAACTGTAAAAAACTGCTGCAGCCCCAGCGTAACAGGTTTGGCTACCGAAGGAACTGCCTGCGATAGTCATCCAAAAAAGATTGGCGGGCTAGGTTAATGTGTGCGTGTGATATATATCACTTTTGACAAAAGATGACTTGGTACTACCCGTCCAGTTGGGAAGAATCACAGGACTTCCAGGGGAACATTTTGGCCTGGGCCTTGGCCCAAAAAGCATCGCCTCTTTTGTATGAAAATGGGGGTGGACACCAAATATTGCAATTTTAACTGGGAGAAAAAGTATGGAATATGATGAATTTGTGGATTAATTTGTGGAATTTAGTGGTGCCCCGAAAGTCCGTTTTGTTCCCGCCAGGGCACAGAAAGTCACCCAGCGTTGCGGCTTGTCGCAAGATACCTTGTGGGGTAGCCAGGTATCACAAGATTCTGCGGGTACCACAACCAGAGTGTTATCCCAAGGATTGGTAACAAAACCTGAAAAGTTACGAACATCATCAGAGCTCCTCATTTCGAATTAGTTCATCTCAAAAATTTCATGCAGTGGCAAGGCACATTGCGGTGGAACTTGATGGGATTGCAAACACCTAACTGGTGATACAAGTACCCCCTTTGCTCGTCAGGGGGCATTGTTTCAACTTGGGTTGAAGACAGCATACACCTCACATTGTTATCCCAATTACACATGACAAATTTCGGCTGATTTTGAGCCTTCTCACGATGAAACACACCGCAATAACCATGCTTAACCAATTTTTTACCCTTGAAACGCGTGAAGGTTTGGATCCGCTCCAAACCCGCCAACTTCGGCTAAAGCCACTCACATGCCCTGGATGGATCAGGTCGAAAATGCCTGGAACCTGGGTAGCTGGTTGTTCATGGGTCCTGTGCACCATCTCACAACGGGCGTCAGTTTGAACCAAAGGGGGGGGGAACATCATCTGGGCCTTGGTGTAAGTTAACCAAACCCGAAAAGTCGCAATTCTTGGGAAAACCCTAGATTTGGTTGAAGGGAGAATAATTTACAGGAAACCTGCATATTCAAAGGAAAACCATAGTTCCTTGTAGACTTGTGCTCAAATCAATCCGTTAAGATATTTTCGCATACTTCACCATCTGCTATGGAGAGGCTGGTCAGTGAATGGACATCCTGCAAAAACGCCTTGGATGACAGTAATCGCAATTGATCGCTCTCCAACTGTGGCAAACTACGGGATGACCGACATTCCATTCTGGTCATGGATTGGACCAGCTTGGTGTACTGCATAGAAATGGTATGAAAATGTAAAAATGTATAAACATGTATCATTTCATATCGTCTCTCATCATTTTTCCGTAGCATATCTGATGTTTGGGTGGCCTTGGGCCGGCTGCATCCAAGTGGCATAGACCACCCGCTTGGCAGCAGTCAGCTGCTTGGGTGGCCTGGACCCAGAGCTGAGGTCATTCCCCGGCAGTTTTAACCCCCCATAAAACACATGTGATTCACCGACCAAATTTTTGAAGCTTAGCTACGGCTTGAACGCAAGCCAACACACAAAACCAAGGTTGACCCAGGTTGGGCAAGAACGGCGCGTTGGATGTGACGAATTCTTCTCTTTGCCATACGAGCTTGATCCAGCACATCCGTCATGCTAAGCATTTTTCAGTCCCAATTTGCCAAATATGTTGTTGGAATTTGTTGGATATCTTTGCATTTCTGTTACCACCTCCCTCAAAATTTCCTACAGTGGGGCAAGAATCTGTTGGTAGAGCGTGTCCACTTTGCTTATATTATAGTCCATCTGTCATACTCATTCTCAGTTAATGAATCCCTCAGATAATCGCCAGACTTTGTTGGTGAAATTCTATAAATCTGCAGCAGGCCTGAATGACATGATCAAAACAGATTTTTTCAGGCTCCATCTCCTTCAATTCTCCAAAACGACTCAACTTTACAGTTTGCAAGTGGTGACAACATATAATTCTATGAATAATCAGAACATATCTGGGAATCTTCCATATATGACTGGGTTATGCTTGTAGTTCTTCAAGCCCAGTCAAAAAGGGATTCCTTGGTTGCACTGTTAAAGGCTCCTTGAGTAGCTTATAATCTGACAACCACAATCAGTCACCACAATTGTCCAAATGGGTCTGAAATTTGGTTCTTCCCGGTGAACGTGGCCATGGAAAATCCACTAATGGAAATTTAATGGGAAAATCATTGGAAAATGGCAGTGATTTGGCTAAATCCATTTTCAGACAGGCACCGGTTGAAAGTTGCTTGCGCACATCTGTATATGTATATCCCCATATATGTAAATATGTATGTATATATTATATATATGTATATATATATATATGTAGATATATATAGATATATATATATAGATATATATATATGTATATAGGTATACATATATATATATATATTCATTCCGGTCCGTGTCGGTTATATATAGATTTACATATCCGCATATTGTTGGTTACACACATATGTGTATAGTTGTTTCATTTTTCTCTATGTATATACATATACGCACCCTAGATAGATAGAAAGATAGATTAGATTAGATTAGAGTAGATTAGATTAGAGTAGGTTAGATTAGAGTAGATTAGATGGACGGATGGATAGATAGAAAGATGGTCTTTATACACCCTTCCCTTCCCGTCGTTTCACTCCTGTCACCCGGGGGAGCGGCAAACTGCTGCAGCCGCTGCGCAGTGCACAGGGCACTGCTTAGCGCTTCACCGGCGCCGCCGGCTTCGCCCTCGTCCCATTGGAAACGGTGGGATTTCTCCAGGGTTTTCCATGTTAAAATGGGGGGTAATTTGGGTGGGTAAAACAATAATAAAACACCCACAAATGGGAATGATATATACACGTTTATACCACTTATGGTTTAATTCTTGTTTACAGTATGGTACACTGGTACGCCCGATGCCATACCTACTTGCATGGTTGCCCCATCTTCATATGGTGATCAATGGGCAAATAAGAAAGCATGGTGTCGCAGTGAATCTCCCGGATAACTACAACCTCTTTTGGGTATATTCTGTCTGCACTTTCGATTCCCCAAAACGCGAAACAAGAGCAAATGGTACATGCGGCATGCTTTTTCTTGGGCTGGCGGCCATCCAAAAAAATATGAAGGTTACCCCCCTCGTACCTTGCAACCATGCTTACATTCCATATCAACTGGAGCTCCCCTTATCGTAGAAACCTATGGGCTCACCAATGCCGAATTCTTTCATATCACCTTTGGTGGGGCTGCACTATCCAACCATTTCAAATGTTTAATCGCCAGGAAGTCTCGGACAGCCTGATGCTGACTCCATCCTTGTTGTTGGATGATGCGGCTAATGATCCTGGGTGCCGGTACTGGGCCTGAAACGGGTGACATGTAAAATAAGGATTAAATGGTGCATGGTAGGTCGTGTGCCTTGGCAGTTCAGAGGGAAGACTTCCGCTTGAGAAAACCGTATTCAGCAGGATAGTTAAGATTCATAAGGAACAAACAAAGCCATGATCCTAGCTGCCATGGATAATCAGGGCATGACTGGCACCACAACGGTAGCTTCAACCTCTCTGCCTCATCTTTATATATGCTTGCTATATGTGAATAAATATGAAAAATGCCATCCAGCTTGATGAAAAAAAACAGGATAAACTCAAACAATTCACTGACCTTAAAAGTTCGGCCATTTGGGGATGATTCATTTTTCAGATCATCATTAAAATGACGTCGCGACGTGAGGTCGTGATCAAATTTATCCAGATCTTTGGTTAATCAGGGGTAAAACCAAAAATACTAAATGATTGGTGGATAATTGATGGATAGCTTATAACTAGTTAATAGCTTTAACCATTGAATAAGCTATCCGTCTTATATTTCTATTATTATTGATAAATATCAATTTGACCTACCCCTCTGAAAAATATGAAAGCCAGTTGGAATTGTTATTCGCAACATATGGAAAAATAACACATGTTCCAAAGCACCAACCAGTTATGATATACCACTTAAAATAGTGAGAAATATAAATCCCTATTGCATCCCATTAAATCCCTATTTGTTGCTGGTTCCAAAGCACCAGCCGAGGAACTGGGTCGTGGAGATACCCTCAGTGCGTTTCAGCACCTGCGATGGTAAGGCCGAAATGGTGAAATACAACCATATTGAACGGCTAATTTTCCGCATATCATCTTATATCCCCATATTTTCATGGCTAAAATCTTTCTGCATATATATATATATGTGATTGTAGTCATTTAATATGGATTTTAACCCTCAAACTATAGGATTGTTTTTGCGGATATAAGTGATACATGATGATTGGTTGACGATTGTTGACGGGGTTATACTACCAATTCTTCATTTGGCATCGTTTTTAAAATTTGATGTCTAACTACTGTTGGGGGCTTCCTTCTGAAGGTGTCTGTTTTCAGCCTGCTTTTGAATCCGAATTGCAGCTCAATCCTTAAGGATTGCTATCTGAGTGCTATGCTTACTCAAGCATCTAGAAGACTGGACATCCGAGAATTTTGTCTATCTTGGGCCTTCTGAATTGCTTCCGCAGATTCTAGGCACATTTTTTTTGCAGTTCTCCATTCCCCTGAATATTAAACACCGTATGCCGAAGTGAACATATCACTAGAGCCCGCCTGGAAACGCTTCTCCTCCACCACTGCGCTGTACATGCCATGGCCGCCTGGCCAGACACGACCCTGGAAAAGCACTGGGGCAACGAAGGTTCCCGCCTCTACAAACGGGCATGTCATCGCCATGGCAGACCCACTTCACACGGAGCCTGGCGGATATGACCCAAAACATGGTCGATATCATCATTTTCTGTCAAGATCAGGAATGCACCGTAGTTGAAACTGTCCATCTCTGAATTTCCAACATTTACATATCAAAATTCCATTTTTTGGGTGTAATACCACGCTGTGGGGAGGGTGCCTTTGCTTTTCTTGAGAACTACGTGCCCTCCGGTCATTTAACCGTCTGCCATGGTACGTATGTTGTGGTATAGATGGCCCATTTAGATCGATGATTTACCTCTTAAAACTCAATTCTTAAATCAGAATGAAATATAAGTGCAATTCTAGCCAGTTATTTTAAATCACTAAGGTATAATCACTCAAACATGGTTATTTTCCATGACAAAGTGTTACCAGAGAGTAGCACTTCTTGGGCGCGACGTTGGGCATCCGTGCGTGTCAGCCATCTGCACTGAGATCTGTGTGTATGGCAACTGCGTGACGAACCTGGGCAGGATTTTGTGGGGATTCCATGCGGATGGTGATCTTCATTGGAGCGCACAGGAAGCCTGGGCTTTTCATCAACACTGGTTATTTTTTGTCCGTTCCACAGATGTTTGGCTACAAGGTGGTGCCGCCGGAATCGCTCTCCGGGGCAACTGACATGTAAGTAAGCACACAATAGGAACCGTAAGAGTAATGATACTGGAGAACACATCATGATGATGTAATGACCATGGTGATGATAATGAAAATTATCTTGACGATGATCGAACTATGGTTGATAAGATCTTTTAGAAATAATCCAATGGGTGAGCAAATGGGTGAACCAGCCTAGTCGTGAAGGGACCATCCAACTCCCACATTTCAATATCATTTTTCTTGTGCACGGGGCAATGTGGACCCTCTATGAATGCCTTAAGGATCCTTAAGGTAAGGCCGGTATGAATCATCTATGAACTTACAATGGTGTTTCATGGTTTTCCTCATCTGAATCATTGGTGTTCAGGTTGAGGTGACGACGCTTTCGTGATGAATTTCCCCAAAATCATCAAGAATTCTTCACCATATCACTGTCATATCACTGTCAAATCACTGTCAAATCACTGTCATATCACTCAGCAGACATCCGTTCAACGCTGAATCGCAGGTGACCTCCCAGGACCCAATGCCATTTTTTCTTCGATTGCGGGATCAGATTCCAACTGAAAAACTACCCAGAACCCTGATTCCCCCATTGATTTCTGATAACCTACCCATAGAAAATATCCACCTTGTCTGGATTCAACCCCATTTTGCTGGGCCACCTCCGTTAAGACTGGCACTTGGGGCCACGACTCGTCGACCCACTTTGTAGCCTCGAGAATAGCAGTTCCTCATCGGCGGTTTTCCGGGGATCTGATGGATCTGATGATGAAATGAATTCAATCTGCGACATGATCATTAATGGTCGGAAAAACCGTTCTACAAAGTAATGATGGTTTTGAAGTCATTAATAGTTCTAGATTCTACATCGTTGATGGTATTCTGATGGGTAAAAACCTCCTATCAATCATGAATCTCAATGGGCTGATTTTCCAAAGCTGCCCGTGACTCATTTGATTCATCATGTCACTGCGGCTTCACAAGAAACAGCATTGTCAGGTCATCAATGGAAACCAATGGAAACTGGGCCGAGTTAGTGGCTCTCGGGGACTGTCATCTGAATGGAATCCCTGGATCTGATTTGGTGGTTCCCTCTTACCCACCCCTGTTTTCACACCAAAATAGCGTTGGCCTAAATGTCCGACCCCCCTCAAAATGGGTATGGCTGATGGATTCAGTTCCAAAATCTCATCTGGAAATCACCGCAAAGACAAAAAGGGTTTACCTGTGGCCCCGGCTTTCGTCGTTGGACATCATCGGAGGTCCCTTCTGATTGCCTTCAGTATTGGAATGGCCGGAAAATGCGCTTCCACCAGAAAACCACGAGTCTAATGAAACGATCAAAAAGGTGCTTCAATTAAAGAACATATGGGGGAGTGTCGAGAATTACCATGACTTGAAAATCATCATGACCTGAAGATCGCTGTGTTTTCATATAAAAACATTGGGAATCAAACGGCCGCATGGAGATTTCAATGCCAAATACGTGTCAACATCACCAGCAGCAAACAAGGATTTTCACTGCGTACCACAACTGGGGGGCATCTAGCAATGCTGTTGGTTGAGCCACCCATACCATTAGTGTATCATGGAAAAATATAACCAAGTAAAGTAGAGACGTTGACCAGCAAAAAGGCAAAGAGGATGCCAACCGTATCTATCTTGGGGAAACCCAGGAAAATTCTACTTACCAAAGTGATTACATCGGTTGAGACCCCAAGAACTTAGGGTCTACATATGTATCTGGGGTCATGTTCACACATATGGAAATTCCTATGCGAAATGCTGCTGTCATTCCTTTTGGTAGGTTAACTGGCAATATGTTTTGCTCTCTACCCCAACCCCCTCCACCAAGTTGCCTGCAATGGGTTCGCGTGAACAATTGGGCATCCCAGCAAAAAATGACAAATTTAATCAGGACAATGGACACCAGTTGTGGAATTTTGCAGGGCCACTGTTCAGACCACCAAATCAAACCAATGATCCCTGCGGTTCCATCCCGTGAATCGAGCAGCTTATCGCTTCATCTGAGTGGATCCCCGCCACCATAACCACCTGAGGCCCCATAAGTCGTTGGGGATCATCCCAAGTCACAGGGTTTGATGGTGCTTATAAGGCCTTATGTGTTGGACGGAGTACTCGGAGTACCCTGGCTTTGCGAGATTTATGATCAAATTCCTCCAATAAGTTACGGCTTGTGGAAATCCCACATTGTCAGGTAAACTCAATCGCCGTTCCCCCGAGTTTCGCACCGCTCAGAAAAAATGGAACATCAAAGGAAGGAACGAGTTGCTCTTAAAGATGCAGCCTGAAATGAAACATTTTTTCATTTTCGCGTGAATTCACCAAAGGGAAACAGTGTGCATGCTTGACCCTGTCATCCGGCAATGTTGGATGAAAGCAAAAAAACAAGATGAAGCCCACGAACCCGAATGCTCACACGTATGTTAATGGTACAGATGTCAATACACATGGTTATGCAGTCACGCACAATACCTTTCTGCAATAGTTTATTTGAACAGTCTTGTACATGTTTCCCTTGTTACCAGTCTGCAGTGTGGAGTGGAAAGTGTAGAGTGTGGAGTGTGGAGTGTGAAGTAAGGAGTGTGGAGTAGGGAGTGTAGAGTGTGTAAAGTGTAGAATGCGGAGTGTAAAGCGTAGAGTGTGGAGTATGGAGTGTAAAGTGTAGAGTGTGGAGTGTAGAGTGTGGAGTGTGGAGTGTAGAGTGTGGAGTGAGGAGTGTAAAGTGCAAAGTGTGAAGTGTGGAGTGTGGAGTGTGGAGTGTAAAGTGAGGAATGTAAAGTGTGGAGTGAGGAGTGTGGAGTGTAAAGTGAGGAGTGTAAAGTGTGGAGTGAGGAGTGTAAAGTGGAAAGAGTGGAGTGTAAAGTGTAAAGTGTGGAGTGTAGAGTGTATAGTGTGGAGTGTAGAGTGTGGAGTGTAAAGTGTGGAGTGTAAAGTGTAGAGTGTGGAGTGTAAAGTGTGGAGTGTAAAGTGTGGAGTGAGGAGTGTAAAGTGTGGAGTGTAAAGTGTGGAGTGTGGAGTGTTGCGTTGAAAGTGTGGAGTGTAAAGTGTGGAGTGTAAAGTGTGGAGTGTAAAGTGTAGTGTGGAATGTGAAATGTGGAGTGTGGAGTCTAGAGTGGAAAGTGTAAAGTGTGGAGCGTAAAGTGTAGAGTGTGGAGTCTAGAGTGGAAAGTGTAGAGTGTGGTGTGTAGAGTGTGGGGTGTGGAGTGTAAAGTGAGGAGTGTAAAGTGAGGAGTGTAAAGTGTGGAGTGTCGAGTGAGGAGTGTAAAGTATAAAGTGTGGAGTGTGGAACGTACAGTAATGTGGAGTGTGGAGTGCGGAGTGTGGAGTGAAAAGTGTAGTGTGGGGAGTGTGGAATGTAAAGTGGGGAGTGTGGAGTGTAGAGTGTGGCGTGAGGAATGTAAAGTGTAAAGTGTGGAGTGTGGAGTGTAAAGTGTAGTGTGGAGTGTGAAATGTGGAGTGGAAAGTGTAGAGTGTGGTGTGTAGAGTGTGGAGTGTGGAGTGTAAAATGTAAAGTGTGGAGTGTAGAGTGTAAAGTGTAGAGTGTGGAGTGTGGAGTGTAGAGTGTAAAGTGTAGAGTGTAAAGTGTAGAGTGTGGAGTGTAAAGTGTAAAGTGACGAGTGTAAAGTGTGGAGTGAGGAGTTTAAAGTGTGGAGTGTAAAGTGTGGGTGTAAAGTAAGGAGTGTGTAGTGTAAAGTGTGGAGTGTGGAGTGGAAAGTGTGGAGTGTGAAGTGTGGGTGTAAAGTAAGGAGCGTGTAGTGTAAAGTGTGGAGTGTGGAGTGTAAAGTGTAGAGTGTGGAGTGTGGAGTGTAAAGTGTAGAGTGAAGAGTGAGGAGTGGAAAGTGTAGAGTGCAGTGTAAAGTGTGGAGTGTGGAGTGTAAAGTCTCAGGTGAGGAGTGAGGAGTGTAAAGTGCAAAGTGTAAAGTGTGGAGTGTAAATTGTAGAGTGTGGAGTCTAAAGTGTAAATTGTGGAGTGCGGAGTGTAAAGTGTAGAGTGTGGAGGGCGGAGCTCCCCCCATAGACTCGGCGACGCCACAGGAAAAACCAGAGACTCGAGACGAGACACGTGGATGCAAAAAAAACGAGCATTTCGTGCGAGACATCCTCCAATTTTGATATTTTCCACACGTTATCAAACAGGTTGGAATGTCACAAAGTGCCACGCCTGCCACGCAAAACGACATGACAACCTGCTTGGACACATTCGAATAGGAGATGTTTTCCAGCTTCCCCCATAGACACGGCGACGCCACAGGAAAACCAGCGACTCGAGACAAGACACGTGGGAGCACCAAAACGAGCATTTTGTACGAGACTTCCTCCAATTTTGACATTTTGCAACATGACAAAAGGACAAGTTTTGCAGCTTCCCCCATAGACACGGCGAGGCCACAGGAAAACCAGAGACTCGAGACGAGACAGGTGGGAGCACCAAAACGAGCATTTCGTGCGAGACTTCCTCCAATTTTCACACTTTGTAGCTTCAAAATCGACAATTTCCTAGCCAATGCGATTTGCAAAAAACACGCAACACGACACGTCTAAAGTGCTGCGCCTGCCACGCAAAATGACGATGGACACGTCCAAAGTGCTGCGCCTGCCACGAAAACTGCAACACATCTTCTGAAAATGTCGCAAAAGTATTGCGCCTGCCACACAAAACGACTTTCGACACGTTACAGAACACGTCTGAATGTCACGAAGTGCCACGCCTGCCACGCGAAACGAAGCAACGAGACGTCTGAAACTTCCAAAAATGACCACCGCTGCAGAACTTACCATAGGCACGGCCATATGTAGCAATCGCGCGAAAGGTTGCGAACGGTTGCGGACGGTTGCGACCACAAACGCAACGTCGAGCGAACACACCCTCAACCCCCAGACCCCCAGAGTGAAAAGGGAACCCTTGCTACGCATTCGGGAATTAGCCAACGTGGGGCAATGGCGGGGCCATTCTGCAATCCACAGCGCAGACGCAACTAGAACCAAGGTCTTGGCTTGTCAACCTCGAACCACCATTGCAGGACATGTAACCCTGCAAAATCAAGACAAAATCTGTGTGGGAATTGATCAGCATCAACAGGCTCAACTCAGTTCTTAAAAGGAAATTACGCCAGCATAGATCCCAGATAGTGAACAAAAGCTTTTGTAGGCAGTGCTTAAATGGTTTTGATAACGCGCACAGCACTCCAACACAAGCACCCTGCAGCGGCACCCTGCAGCGGCCGCAGAGCGCAGTCCAAAGCGCACACACACACAGCACTCTGACAGCAGCACCAGCAACTGGAAGCCCCAAAGTGCACACAGCACGTTGAAAGCAGCAACCTACAGCAGCACCAGCAGCCAAGCTCCAAAGCCAGAACAGCACTCCAACACAAGCACCCTGCAGCGGCACCCTGCAGCATCAGCAACCCAGCTCCAAAGCGCAAACAAGACTTGTGATAGCAGCACCTTGCAGCGCCACTGCAGAGACACCGGTCGGCACCAAAAACCAAGCTCCAAAGCTCAAACAGCACTCCAGCACAAGCACCTTGCAGAGGCACCCTGCCGCGCAGCGGCACCAGCAGCTAAACTCCAGAGCGCAAATGGCACTCTGACAGCACCTTGCAGCGGCACCCTGAAGCGGCACCAGCAACCAAATTCCAAAGCGAAACAGCATTCTTACAGCAGCATGTGCACCGCAGCCGCGCGAAAAACACTTTAACACAAGCACCTTGCAGCAGCACCCTTGCAGCAGCATTCTGCACCAGCGACCAAGTTCCAAAGGGCAAACATGCAACTCTGCTTGTATTAGAAGTAGGAACCCCGGTTGCCTTGCTACCTCGGGAAAAACCCTTCAACCAACACATTCCCCAGACTCGTGGGCCGCAAAGACTTGCTGGCCTTCTTGTAGCCCTGCTGGAAAAACAGCCGTTTCGCTTGCCGCAGGGCATTGAAGTGACCCACCTGGAAAAAATTGGCTGGTGGTCGAAACTCCAGTGCAACCAGCTGGGAACATGTTTGAAACATCTTGAAAATCATCATCCTAGGTTGAGCAGAAACACCACATTTCAAGCGGATGCGGATTCCCAGGGCTTTCCCAACACAAACAGCAAAATGCCGAGGACATATCCATAGCAGCAAAATCTTGATTTGTATCTTGTGCAAGGCCACACTTCTAGGGATCCAAAGTCTTATACTTTGAATGGCGTGTTGCTTGGGGTCCCTGTCCGTCGAGTCACATGCATCAAATCGAAGCACCCATTCAGAAGGATCCGGACCTGACGCTCGCACTCGGCTTTCACTGTGCCCAATGCTGCCATGTCAGCCAAATGCATGAGGCGGGGTCCTGTGGAGCTCTAGTGGCACATGAATAGCTATACGTGCTGGAACCAAACCACCAACGCAACCACACCCCAACTTGCTCAGCTGGCTGCCCAGAAAATAGGGCATCGTTTGGCAGCTTAACTTCCCCAGTTGATGCCAAGTTTGGAGTGCCTAATTGTAACGGTTCAACTTAGTTTTCATGCCAAAATACTTGATATACAGTATCGATGCTTTTCAAACAGCTGGTGTAGCTGGAGGTCCAAATATGGGGGTTAAACGGGTATTCAGACACATCCCTATGGTAAAATCGTAAACTCTAATCTACCAACTTCCAAGCCCAGGTGCCGTATCTGGATCCCGGCTTTGCTGCTCCACCAGCTCAAGTGGAGGGCGGTGCCAGTAGAAGTGGAGCCTCGGTTCGTGGAGACCTGGGCATTCCTTTCCTCTTTGGGCTTAGCCAATCCCAATGAGAAATTGAAAACCGCCTTCATTACAAAAACATATTGCAACTAAATTGAACTAAGTAAATAAATAGATAAATCAAAAACAGTTAAATAACAAAATAAACAAATAAAAACATATTTTCATATACGTATGACATATGTATACATACATGTAAATATGAATGTGTACTACGCGCAAATAGGTGAAATACATGCGTGCGTCCATCCATGCGTGCGCGTATGTATTTTCAAAACTGTATATTGCAGATTCGCACCTGCTTGAACAAATGCATGAGATATTCTCGAGTTTCTAGCCGCAATATGTATGCAAGTTGACGCTCCTTTGATGCAACCGGTCGTTTTATGCCAGAAACGGGCTCAAGTTCATTGACCTTGGCCTCATTGTTGACCTGTTGCGGTTCGCGTGCACTTGATTGATATTGGGAACCTGACATAGTGCTACTTAATACAGGACGCTGTGCCAAGAATGAGGTAATCAGCATGGGTCACCGTGGTACCCTGGTTTTTATATCAAGGCTGGAAAATAGATGTCCGCATGGAAAATCAAAGGCTTTTGATCCATCCTCTCCCCATTTCCATCGAGAATGCGTTGTCAAGGGGTGATCGACTTTGGACTGTTGGTACAAGGCTGTTGCGCCACAGGTAGCTAAGTTGGTTTGTAACTTGCTTAACTTGGGTTTTTTCTTATGATTATAACTGTAGCCAATGGGGTTTACAAGCTAACAAACATAACCGGGTTTCCTGCATCAACATGTCGATGCGCTTCCACGGATCGGGGTAATGGTTCGACCAACAGGTTTGAAGGAAAACGTGCAAACTTCGCAATCCAAAGGGCATTATGCAATCAAACCGATTTTCTTTGATCAGCAAACAAACTTTTTCCAGATCAACTTTAGTAACTATTCTGAAGCATTTGGCAGATTTCAGCTCAGAAAAGGTGCTTTTGCGGCCAAGAGGTACTTTAAGTTGTCACAGTGGTTGGTCCAAAAAGTGAGCTATAATCTTAGTAGCGAAATTGATTTTCAAAAGGCCATTGGATTTGGGGCACCTTTCGGAAGACCCTTCCATACCTCCCCCCAGTGATTTTGCCCAAGTTCAAGACAACTTACACTCTTAGGTGTTTCACTGCTGGCTATAATTTGCGTCTTAACCCTTCGAAAAACGTCACCCAATGGCTTCATCCATATTTTCAAGTAAAGCTATTGGTTTTCGCTGAGGAAACGATGAAATTTGGGATGATTTTGGGACCTTCCGTTTTAAGAAACCGACAGCCATGGATTTTCACTTGAATTCCTGCGTTTTGCCAGGGCTGGAGTCTTTTCCCAGCCAATCCCTCCCAACAAAACGCATTGCTGGTTGAATATGATATATTTTGGGTGTGTCTGTAAATGGTGTTTTCTGGCATCAAACATCATTTGAAATATGGCAAATACTTGCAAATACTATGATTCACCGTCAAACTTGGTGGGTTTTCCCTAAATCTTCAGACATCAAACCATTCACCTGGTGATGCTACTGCACTTTCACCAACCATGCATTGAATCACAGAACACCATGGCGAATCTTCGACACATTGCACCAACGGTTTTTCTTGGGTATGACGACCCTCGCTGTGTCCTGACATGAGGGATTTACTCCAAGTATGGGGTTCTCATGAGACAATTAGGTGTTATACAGTTATACATGTTCTCTAATGTTCTTTAGAAACAATTGATGGGTAGTACAGATCTAGCTGGGTAGGTTCATGCAATACATGCCAGCAAAATGGCAGAGAAAGGTTTCCAATCGGAGAAGCTGAAGAGGTGCAGGTGGGCTGATTAGACATCATTTTTATGAATGTTAGCCAACATGTCTGGCAAAATTTGACGATTTCACCCTCACTTCCAACTGGTGACGTCCTCTGTGGGCCGTAGGGCATTGTCATCTGAGGACACGACTGATCATTGACCTGGCGGTAAACTTGTCCACCAACGGTACCCGACCCGTGTTATCTTCAAGAACCGCAACGTGGCGCCCCCCAGTTGTAGCTTAGTTCATCAAAGCCAATCGAATATAGAGACATCTGACATAAAACTCTATCTGCTCATAAATTCCCAACAGCGAATCTGTTGGGTTTCAATCTCTGGGGCCGGGGACTGGTGACACGAAAATGCACGCCCCGAAAAACCGGAACAGTCCTGGAACCTTGCTGGAACCTTTCGTTGTTGGGGTTGCAAAGCTGGGCTAATCAATTTCATGCCAGGCTGACGAACCTTTGCGCCACTGGCACCGTTCATTTTTTTCCTATGCGAATGATTTGGTCATAGTTCCGGATACCAAAAAAACTTTCCAGACACTGGGAATCAGCTTCAATACCCCTGGAGGACCATCCTAAGATGGTGCCCAAAACAAGCCATGCGAATATGAACCATACATAAACAGTCATAGATCCTTACTTCGCTATGGAAACAACGACGTTACCGAATTAATTTGGGCTTTAGATCCCCTTAAATCCCGACTTCGACTAGTTGAACCTCTCTTTTTGGTTGGTGAGCAAGTCATTTGGGTTTGCCTGAAAATAGGGGACCTCTAAATTCAGGGGTTAATCATCATGTGGGGAATACCCCATCTTAAGACACTCCTGAATTGAATGTAGTCGGTTTCATATCCTGCTGCCCTTAGTGAATCCCAGTTTTCCCATTTTGTCAATCCGAATATCAAGAAGCACGTTTGATGCTTAAATCACTTCCACATCTCCGTTCGCTCACAATTTTTGATGGTATCCCGATTCATGTGGTCCCAATAACAAACCATCCCCCCAAAAAAATCTATGGGTATTCCAACCATCACCAAATGGTAGTTGTTGGCATTGGGTTTCCCACATTACTTCATGCTGAATGCTCAAATCACCAACATTTGCCATGATCTATTGCCACGCACGCCCAAGCCTTGCCTCAACCCACTCCCGTTCCAAGTCCGCCAACATGTCGCGGCGGGCGCATGGGCGTTGGAGGAGGGGCTGAAGGCCCCAATTTTTTCGGCTACAAATGGTTCGTGAAGGAAGAGACACGGGGATTTTGGGATTATTTGGATATATGATAATTATAACTGTAAATTCGTTCATCAACGTGGCAAACAATCAGCCCATTGACCTACCATTTGTCAGTCGGCTTACCCAGCACAGGTCACAAAAACCTATTGCTGCTGTGTTGTAATGGGCTTCCGTCTCACCCCGCTGCATTCCAGGAACTGAAACAACTGTGACTGATAGCTGGCTCCTGTAGCTGTGGCTTAACCCATGCAATGTATACATCTATCTATCTATCTATCTTATCTTATCTTATTTTGTCTATCCATCTCTCTCTCTCTCTATATATATATATATGTATACCACGAGGTGGTTGAACTGATGATTGAACTGACTATGGCTATTTTCCAACCACATCTTGGACAAGTGGGTGCTTTTTCTTCCAACGTGCTCAAATCGCCTGGAAGGCAGGGACTAGAGCCGAGATTTATGGGGCTCGCTCCTCACCTGTGGTGAGAGTTCACTGGGGATGAATCTCATCTGGTGGTTTTCTCTCAGAACAGCAGCTGGGTCCACATCCCAAATTGATATGAAACATTTTTTTGCACTGGAATATCAAAATAGTTGGTGTAGCTGCCATTCCTGTCCCTACAATATTAAAATAGCTGGTGTATGGATCAACATGGTATCATACCTCCTGACCTATCCCTACGTTTCACTTGAGCAGCGTTCAGAACCCTCTATCGTCACTTTATGATGGTTGGTTACTAGAATTTCCCATCATGGATTATGATGATGCCCAATATATTTGGTGGTAAAACCCCCCCTCTGATCATCAACCGACAAGGCTTTTGAACGTTGCTCACTTGTGGAAAGGGCAACACCTGCACCACACCTGCGGCGCCACGGGTGCTGCTTGCTGCACCGGGGCCGCTTGGGAAGCTTGGGATGGCAGCGGCAACAGTTTGGGAAAGATGGCCTCAGTGCGCAAATGGGGAACGGGGGCTCAGCCTCCAATTTTGCTAATCAAACAAGAAATGCCACAGTTTGTTGTTAAAAGTTTGTTTAACAACTGTGGCCACTAGTCAAAAGTTGTTAAAAGTCATGTCGTGGTCACAGTTTGACACATTGATGAGATCATGCTGACAGTTGCTAAGTAAAAGTATCTGGCACCGCACGGATCATGTTCAGTTCAAACTTGCTTAAGGCATACCCTACATGATTTTTTACTAGCACGACTTCCTGTCCGACCAAAGTGTCGAATTCAGATACTTGTCTATCAAGATTCAAGATTGTCTTCTGAAGACCATGTAACAGAGAATGTTTGAAGAATATCTGGTAGACAACTATATTTCTGCACCGTGGATTTTTCTACCAAACAAAAAGAATACGATCGATATCACTTATAGAGAACATTCTGCATCTTGAATCTATAGTATACAGATATTCACCCTATATACCCATCATTGGTCATGGTGACATTGATATCTATTTTGTATACACCTATAGAACATCATAGCGCGCCGCCCAAACAAGACAGAACTCCGTAAAAACCTGCTGAAATAATGTTCTTTTTCCATCGCTTTCGGGGTTACTATACTTTAATTTCCTACGGCAGACATTGGTAGACAAAACGCGGCCAATCTTACCATGAAAAAACGCTTTACGCTTGTTAGTAGGTACCCACATCAAAACCACAAGATGTACTAAACTACCCACCCAGTCCGTCATTTGTTGGTTATGTCATATTGTCTTCATTGCACCCTGGATGAACAACCCCCTAGGCCGTTTAAACGGGGGTATTCAAGTAAGATACATATGATCCATATACATATATATACATATATATATATTATCCATGGGGGTACCTCCAATATATGGCAATATGATCCAATAGTATCCATATCTGATCCATATCTAATCCATATCATCACTATTGGAGGTACCCCCAATGCCATGATTCATACAGGGTTGATGAATCCGCTGAGGCGGCCACTTCAAGGCTCAGCATGGGCAAAGCCTTTGCGCTGGGATTTTTCATTGGCAAACAGAAATTGACGATTGAAAGGGGGATATTTGGGTAAATCTTACAAGTTCAGGGAATATTAGGGTAAACTATTTCGATTTGCCATCAGAACCATCGTGACGAACGTGAAAATACTGACCATCATTGATAAACCTTGGTTGCTTGAGGTCGATTTGTATCTATACATGGCTGATCTACATGTCTTTTTGAACAACCCATGACGCATTCCCCCATTGAATGGCAACACGCATGAACCATTAACCTCCAGGTCACCCAATCTATCCGCATGTTGATACTTCAAGTCATTAGATT